TAAATAGCTAATTGCACAAATAGGCTTTGCTTGAACAGTGTTTCTGTTTTCTGTGCTGTGGTCACGACAGACCCACAGAGAAAATATTTCTTATCTTAAATCTTCTTATCTTATTGAGCTTTAAGTCATACGATATCCGTGTTCCATTTTCTAAGTTACAGACACATGATTTAAGAGAATCATCAGTGTCCAAGTGTGCAGCTCATGAATTGCCTTGATTCATAGTTAGAAATGTAAAAACAGTTATGTTTTCCTATGAACCGCCACATTTCAACTGTGACCAAAATTGTCTCCTGAGGTTTGTGGATCATTTTTATTTTCTACGTTACACTGACACTTTGCTTTCTCTTCTTTGTCCTGTTCAGGTATTTTCGGAAGTTTTTTCACATTAGGTCAGTGCCCAGAGGAAGTGAGTGGACGGAGTGACATGGCAAGTAGAGGTGGAGCCACACGACCCAATGGGCCAAATACAGGCAACAAGATTTGTCAGTTCAAACTTGTGCTATTAGGAGAGTCAGCGGTGGGAAAGTCAAGTCTCGTACTGCGTTTTGTCAAGGGACAGTTTCATGAATTCCAAGAGAGCACGATCGGAGGTACGTATCTTCACACCTGAACAAATTGCTCACAAGGATCAGTGTTACTCACTTGGTTTTATTTGCATTCATTTCATGTGAGAATGAATCACACAATTGGAATGAGCATTGGATATCTTGATCATTATCATGATGTCACTAATTACTATCGGTCACAAGAGTCATATTTGTGACGTCAGGTAGAGGAAATGTTACTGAGAGCAGAGGACATTGGTCAGAAATGAGTTCAACACACCAAAAAGAGCATGGTGGCAAACAGATGTGGAATAAATAGAGAACAAGGAGAAATGAGGACAGAGACATTTGAAGTTCATAACTGAAGCTGATGAATTCTGAGTGTGAAAATAGCAAACGTAGGAATAATCACTTCTCAGACATCGACATCTAGTTCCTGGTTCCTCATGTACGTATCCAGCGGCATGTGTGAGGTTAAACTAGTCTGTGTAATGAAATCACCTGTACAGTTAATGTTATAGTTGAGGTTATCGCTAATATGTATTAATATGTGTAATCAAGCACACTGAAGAACCAATCAAACAAAACATAGAAGGAGAATCTGGGTCAATGGATCCGAAGAGCTGCAGGATGAATCCGGTTTGGAAAAGTGAAAATGTACTTGGCGTTGAGTAGAACTTAAATCTTTTATTTTCCAACATAAACAAGACAAGATGTGCATTTATATTTACAATTCAAGTAGAATAATGTTCGTTTTCTTAATTCCAAGTTCTATATATTTGTGTTTTCTTTTTGTTTATAGTTATTAATGATAAAGTGTGTGGTTAATCTGTAAAATATCAAGCCCTACATACATACATACAAAATGACCAGTGTATTCGGTATATGAGTATCAGAATTGTTTTACAGCCTAATATCATCACCGGAGAGAGAAACTCCCCTGAGTAAAAAGAAAAAAGTCAATTCTTTGGCCTCATGCTGGATGCATTTCCAGATTTCTTTGTTCTGTATAAAACATGTTTGCTATTACAAGGACCCTGTTTTCCAAATGTGGAAATGTGAACCAAGTGGAGCAGATAATCCCCAGTGTGTCTCCAGCATTGCTCTTAAATAATTTCCTCACAGAAACACATTTTGTGCTGCTCCCTTTGCTACAAGCCCATTTGTCATTGGCTCCTCTGCTCTGTGCCCCTGCAGCCGCCTTCCTGACTCAGACAGTATGTTTGGACGACACAACAGTCAAGTTTGAAATCTGGGACACAGCTGGTCAGGAGCGCTACCACAGTCTGGCCCCCATGTACTACAGAGGAGCCCAGGCAGCCATCGTGGTCTATGACATAACAAATGAGGTGAGTCAGGTGCCTGGTTCTGTCATGTGAGTGTTGTTATCAGAGCTGCTGGGTTTTTTTTTTAAACGTAGTGGAAACCATAGCCTCGTCCACAAAGAGGAGATTGTGGGTTTTTTCATCTTAATTTTGTTTTGTCAAGTCTAAAGAAGAACCAGATTTTTGACAAATTAAGACGTTAGACTCAACAACAGTGTCCTGTCGACAGTTTCCAGTAGATCTCACTCACTCCACTTAATTTCCAAAGAGGTTCCGAATTAAATTACGACGTGCTGATAGATTTTCGGTTCACTGAGAGATCACATTGGACCTCTTCATTTCATTTTCATTGTCTTTTAGATTCAATTATTTTCTTAAAAACAAAAGAATCAGCTGCCATGAAGACAACAGAGGATTTAGTTACATTCTTTTTCTTCATTGTTCCTGAAAGACAGGCCTGATTTAAATTACAGTCCATCCCAACAGACTCTGATCTTCCTGTTATAAGCTCTTCAGTTTACTTAAACAATAAGACAACGAGACAAGTACAATTTGGGCTTTCTGACTCCTGGGTAGGGACAGTGGCTATGTAGCCTTCAAGTAATAAATAAAAGATAGGACTTAAGACATGTAGGAAAGTTATAAAACTTCAGTTATTAGCTCCATGACTGTGAGGAAACAGCAGAACATGTAATGTACTAACACACACACACATACACACACCTATATACTCGAGTGCAAAGCTGCAAGCAGTAGCTTACTGCAGCAGTAGGGACAGTTACCATTAAAACATGTATTAAAAACATTATCAGTTTCCTCTAGGTTTTGTTTTTGGCAGCGGGGCCCGCCCCCTGAGAAGTCCCTTCTAACACTTCCTCTAAACTTTCACAGTAGAGAACAGCGTTTTTATTTTTTTCTAGATCAGGTCCTGAACAAAGACGATCCTTCCTCCTCAGAGTTCAAAGAACAGACACGCTGCTCACATTTCTGACATGTTTGGCATAACGTCCGTGAGTTATTATAGCTCAGCCTCCTATACTGTACAAAAATTCACCTTTTACTGTACCTGAGGACATTTTCACTTGATTCATATTTCATCAGATCTCCTCTTGTCTTTTAATCACATGGAACTTATTGGTATTTCTTCTCGGTCAACCTCTCCCTGTTGTTGTTTTCCAGGAGTCATTTGTACGGGCAAAGAACTGGGTTAAAGAGCTTCAGAGACAAGCCAGTCCAAATATTGTAATAGCCCTGGCTGGGAACAAGGCTGATCTCGCAAACAAGAGAGCACTGGACTTCCAGGTTTGTCTTCATCAAGAACAATAGCTCTGAGTGGAGCGCTTCCTCCTTCCACCAAGGCCCAACAGTCCTTATTAAACCTTATGACACCACGTTAAAAACAGCTACATCCAAATATTACAAATGACTCACACTTGTAAACACTTCCTTGCCGAAGGTAAAAAATGATAAACCAGAATGTTCATCCATAGAAAGTCTTTGGTTCTATTAACTAATGGTGGTTGTGTGGGTTTCTCTGTCACAGGATGCACAGTCATACGCAGACGATAACAGTTTGCTTTTCATGGAAACGTCAGCAAAGACCTCTATGAACGTGAATGAGATTTTCATGGCCATTGGTAAGTGTGATGAAGTTCTTATCGAGAGCCTTAAAGGGATATGAAGTGGAGCTTTAATTGTGATCCTCTGAATCGGAGCTCGTCAGTCGAGTTTCCGACTAGTGACAAGAGCCCTGAGGAACTCAGCTGTGAACAGTCGGAGTTATAGTCTCTTATAGACAAATGATAAGAGTGGATTTGACTTTTAGGTAAACTTAAAAAATAGGGTCAGGTACCTGGGATATGTTCTGACGCTGTCACGTTCACATTGCAGCAAAGAAGCTACCCAAGAACGAGCCTCAAGCCGCCGGCGCCAGCAGCGGGCGGAGCAGGGGAGTGGACCTGACAGAGACGGCTCAGCCCACCAGCCGTCCCTGCTGCAATAACTAACCCAGCTCTTCCTGTTCATCCTCCCCCCCGCTCCTCACCCACACCCACCCCCACACACACCCCTCCACTCTGCTCCCTCTGGACATCGGGCTCCTCGGCTCGCCGACGTCAGACCTGACCCTCAACCTCACTCCCCTGGATTAGCTAAAAGACTCTGTATAGCTGCATTTCTAATACCTTTTTCGTTGATGTTCCTTTTTTCTTTTTTTTAAACTTTTTTTAAAGAAGTGTATATCAGTATAATGGATGCATGTATCACTACAACGCCTAAAACACACAGTTTTGTTTCTTATTACGTAGGAAGACTAATCCCATTTGAGAAAAGCATGAGTGAGTGAGACGCCCGTGAACGTGGGATCATGTGTGTGAGCGACTCGCGGATGAGACGGCGTGGCCTCGTTTGTCGCTTCACAGGGTCGAATTGTGATGCCTGTAATACTCGTAGTGTGCGGCTTAACTTTTTGCTCACGTTCACAAGGAAACCGTGTTGTTTATTTTGAGAGGCCCGACTGTCTCCGACTGTGTCCAGACGGTGCCGGAGGAAGGACTGTCACGCAAACGCAGAACCCCTCCCTCCTCACGTGTGTGTTACTCGAGACAACATCCAGGCTCCAAGTGGAGAAGTGGAAAACCAATTTAGCGCTCTCCAGTTTTTAAAAAAAGTTGGAAATGCACAAAAATGTACTTTGAGAAAATATTAGAAAAGCAGCCTTGATATGTCAGACTCCCTGTTTTGCGCGAGAAGTCCAATAGTTTATGAAACAAATTAGAATCTGTAGAGGAGCCGTGCGTTCCTGTCACTTTGCCACACATCACACTTAACCACGGTCTCTCCGTGGCGTGGAAAACACGGGAGTTTAGACGTGTGAGAAATCAGGAAGCGACACCTCCAGGCCAAAATGACACTGGTATGACAAGATGTTTAAATTCAGCTTTGCTATTCAATGGAAGCTTTCATGCTGCAGCATCTCGGAGTCCGTCACAGAGAAGCCCGTGTCGGCTCTGACACTGATCTGGCTTCACATTAAAAAAGAAAATCGACAGGAAACTGTTGAGCATCCTGCGTAGTGAGTCATCCTGCAGAGACTCTAACACTCGATACCATGTCAAACTCCTGTTTCGAGGACAGCACACAAACAGAAAATTGGACGATCCATTGTCTCGAGTCTGTGGACAAACTATACTCTAATGTTGTTACAGGGTGCAATGTCTTCTTCCTCCGTTAGTACAGCTTGCATAGCTCACCGGGAAATTTATCTAGAGATTCCGAACAATTGTACAGTTCAATATCAGTCTGCTTTGGGGTTTATTTTTTATTTTATTTTCTTTAATTTTATTTTTTATTGTAGACCTTGTCACAAACTGGTCAAATGTTAAGCAGTGGTGGTCTTTCTAGGTATGTGTAGTGTTATTAACAAAATCCCTCTGTGGTGTCTTGTTACTTTTCTCAGAAATGGTCCATGGTCATGTTTGAAAGGAACTTTTATTGCATTGCACAGTGTTGATCATGTTTTAATTAATGATGACTGCCCTTCGATTTTATATGACAGACTGTATTGGACTTGCTAACCTACGACTATAAACAGGTAGCGTAATTAACCTGACTGGTGGTCTCTCTCTCTCTCTCTTACAGCTCAATGAATTTTAATAATGTAAAACAGCATTACTAGTGATGGGCTGATCAGTTTTGAGTGTCTGAATACAACTTAATAAATTCGATAAAGAGATCCATCGTGTGCTCTTTATTTTGCTCTGCATACGTCACCGCATGTTCGGGACACTTTGCAAAGATTCTGGTTTTTTAACGAAACCGAAAGGTCATGACGCTGAATCTACCACCGTCCTCCAGCTGATTCAGAGTCAGTCTCTCTCCACGTCTGATACAAATGTAGTAGTATAAGAAGAGAACACCTTGGAAGGATAAAGTCCAGCTGTTTGCTCAGCATCTCTTCCTGAGCAGAGTTTGACCGTCGGCCTCTTGCTAAAGACGATGATAAAGTAAAAAGACCAAAATGTGTTTTTCTGGGTGTTTTGACGTTTTGGTCGTAAAGCCCGTGAACAAGACGTATTAAAGTTTTCATGGGTGAACTGGTGAAGTGCTGCTCTGAAGGTTTGACATGTTAAAGGGTTTTATGACTCCGGCTGGACTCTCTGTGGCAGAAACCGTTTGTATTCCTTTTCGCTGTCGTCTCTCGGAGCTGGAAGTGATGGCGGGAGTTTCTCCTCTGGACCTTCTGGGATTTCAACTTTTTGAAAAACTCACTTTTCCTTTCACAGTTTATTAAAGGACGTCAGCAAAGTGGACTCGGGCGGATTTGAAGCAGTTTGGCTTTAAATCCCTGGAAATGAAAATCTGTTCTAAAGCAGCGAAGATTAATTATCTGAAGACAGAAATGCATTTAACACTTCACGGATTAATCATCACCGCCGTGAAACCTTGTTCAAATAAATATGTGAACTCTCATAAATGATCCGTGTTTTTAATTTGTTTTTAACACTTGCTCACAAATGTCAGAGGAATAAACTTGTTGAAGGACGAGACACTTTTCATCAAAAACACAGAATCTCGTGTTTTATATAAACTCCAGGAAGAGGTTCAACTGTGATTAAAAGTGTGAAAATTGCACATTAAATTAAACAAATTAAAATCTATTGCATTGATTGTGATGAACAAATCTCGGCCAGTTAATTAATCAATTAAGACACGAGACATTAGAATTGATTTTGTGCAACCCCCAAAAAGAAGAAGAAATGAAAATTAAATTATATTTATATGCATAGTCGTGTTAATATGACAGTTGTTATCACAACGACACCGTTTTTCTCACTGGATTAATTTATTATTAATTATATTTATTGAGGCGTTTAACCAAACAAATACTCCCCAAGTTACAATTAACACATTTCTCAGCTTCTTAATAACTTACTGCATTTCACCCTGGTCGCCATGTGGGGGCAGCAGTGCACTTTACCCATATGATCCCATCAAACAAAACCACCTAAACTCAAGTTGGTCTATGTGCAACATGAGAACGATGACTTGATTGATTGATATCCACATGTTGATTTCATTACAACTATATAAAATGAGTTACAGAAAGCATATTGCAGAATTAGACATTTAAACGAGGCCTACAAGAAGATGATCCATCATCCTGCACGGTTTACAACAATCATTCAAAGAATGAGGATCAGTTCTGAACCGGAGAGAACCTGAATGCACACGTTCTGCTCACGGCAAGCTGAACTCAGAAAACAGGAAAACAGTGGAAAAAGATGCAATTACGGAGAAAAACACGTCTTTGGTGCATTGCCCACAGAAAATCAGCCATGAAATGAGTCACTGACCAAGTTTACATGAGTAATAACGTGACGTGTTTTCATTCAGCTCTGAAACGAGTCTGGTTCTGAGTGATTGTTGCTGCTGTGGTGTGTTTACACTGCACTTATCAGATATCACTTATCCCAAACACAAAGCTGTTGCTGCTGTCAGGAAAATAAACTGCAAACCCCCACTGCACCAGGGGCCTTTTTCCTACACAGTGTTTTAGAAACACGAACGTTTCCATGAGCTGCTCACAAACCAGTGTTTTTCATCATCATCAGAACAACAGAGATGAGAAGATTTCATGAAAATCAGCAGCAGGTAAAGAGAGACGACCTTTTCCACCTTCACCTGTCACCAGACCCCTCAAAGTCACGCCTGCTGTGATCTCCATCACCCGTCCTGGCTCTAACCCTGGGACGTCACCATGGGGACAGCCTCATTACAGTGATACCCCCCCCCCCCCCCCCGGTGTCTGTTACCTTCCTCTAGTGTGATTAGCAGCATCATTCCAGCAGTGGAGACTTTAACTTCTGCAAACTTTTAACTCCTGAGCAACAGCCGGTGAGATATTTCATCCACGTACGACCTGCAGGGTGAGGAAGAGGAGACAGTTACCACGGTGACAAACCACAGCAGTTGGGGTTTATAAGCTCCCGTGGTTTATCTCTGTGAGGCTGATGCTTATCCACACGGCTCTTCGGTGTCTCACACCTTGACTGCATGACTGTACGGAACATTTACATTAAAATACATGCTCATAACCAGGCTCTGAGACTGTACTTATGGCTCTAATCCAGTTAATTATGTGGCAAAGAAGAGATTAAGATGAATTAATAAAACTGCAGTATTTGTAAAAACTACCGAATGGATTTTCACAAAACTTGGTGGAAGGATGGGACACAAGTACCTCAAGATGCCACAAGAATCTCTTTCTTTTAGCATTGTGGGATAGAGCATGTTTTTTGAGGATTTGTCTGCAGTGGAAATAGAAACAACTGGAATTCACTCCCAGGTCTAAGGACTCTGAAGCAGACACAGGTTTCACTCGGCTTTGTGACATTAAATGAATAAATAAATCAAAACTTTAGAGAAGGAGAGAAGTTCAAACGCTTCACAATTGACTGATGAGCAACAAACAAGACAAAACAAATAAAAAATGACTATGAAACACAATGATTTATCATTTTAAAGCTATAATAACAAACACAAATGATACAGTGACCAGAAGAAAATATATTACCTGGTGAAACAATTCAACATGTTCACATCATGCACCATTTAATGGACTCTTTCATCTAAAGTACCACGAGAGTAATACTGTACATTTTCAGCTGTGGGAGCTTTACTGCAGCTCTCCACTGACTCAAATGACTGAAATAAGCTCCATAACCCTGAGCACGAGATAGAATCATTCTCTGAGCTCAGGATTTTTCTCACTCTGCAGCTTCAGGAAGGTTATATTAAGAGATTATCATCTCACAGCCACGCCACCTCACGTAGTCTCAGTGGATTTCATCTTGTATCTGCTGCTCTTTGTACCAATACTTTACCTTCATGTGCATTAAATTACATTCATGCCTTCTACTGTGATGTTGATTTGGTTCCTTGAGGTGAAATGGAGCAGTGTGAGTATTTATACCACGATACACGTTGATATATGAACTAGACATTGTCATGGAACCTCTGCTTTTACTGGCTCCCCATCCTTGAAATTTACAGCACCTCTCTGATTGGGTCGTACATGGGCGGTCTCACACACACACACACACACACACACACACACACACACGTGCACTGTGTGTTTATAGCTCCGTGTTACCCGCCAGGGTCAAAGTCTCCGTCTCACTTGACTGACATCTGTTGAAGCCAATAATTAATGGCTCCGTAATTGATGTGGTCGTCATTTGGTCGGGGGTGGGGGGGGTGAGGTCAGTGTGTAACGCATGCTAATGAGAGGTCACTAAACAACCTCCGCAGAATGAGAGACTCTGTTTCCTGACGGCAGCGTCCATGACAGTGACGCTTAATTCACAATGAATCTCTGATTGAACTATCAACATTAACAGCGGAGTTAGTTTTGTTATAGTATTTAACCATTTTGACTCAGGGCAGCTGTGGCACAGGAGGTAAAGAGGGTAGAGCAGGTTTGATTCCTGGCTCAGCAAGGCCAAAGTGTCCTTGGGCAAGACACTGAACCCCTCATCGCTCCTGACGGCTGTGCAGGTGTGAAGGAGACGCGTGACGGACAGACCAAGTGTTGTGTGAATGTATGAAAGTCAACTGTGATGTAAAGAGTTGACATGGAGACAGGAGAAACACTTGACTGTGAAGTTTAAAGAACAGTTTGACACTTTGGAAACAGCAGTTTAGTTCATCTGATCAATGCAAAGCTGCATTTAATTCCCTTTAAGCTGCAGTTTCTCTTCAGATTAAATTCAATCATGTGTGAGTGAGCGAACCTTAAAAGGTGCTACAGTATTCTTACTGCTGTTCCCCCCGATCTCCACCGGTTGTGCTGCAGTGAGCTGCAGGCTGTAGTTTTACATTTCGTGAAAAGAGTGGTATCAGCTGCGTCCTGTGAGTCACAACAACAGCAGCAGGCCTCGCCGTCTATATTCATGAGCGCTGCGCTGACACAGCTGTCAGATTAGTCCTTGACATATTTTAGGATTGCGCTCCGACTGTTCCTGTTCCCGTGTTCCTGACTTTTCAGACGGTGAGACTCTTCTCTACCTGCAGGTCATTGACAAGTCTCTGAGTATCACCTCTGTGAAATTTGATTGAAATAATATACTATACTATAAAAAGTCAGATGTTTACTCCCATATCCGTTTATTCCACTTGTGTGGGTCAAGTATTTATGACACGAATTGATTGTTGTGATAAATTGTTCTATTTGATTTAAACTTCAGAATCTGCTCAGTAAATGCAGAAAACCCCCGGAGTCTTAGAAGCAGCTCATGTTTTGTGACTTTCTCTTCCTGTCTTCATGTTTAAAATCTACCTGACCCCCGTCTGAACCCCAGAGGGGATAAGGTTGGGCCGTGGGGAGGGGGAGGGGAGGGTATTCTCAGAGATAATTGTCATTTCCTGATCTCGAGGGGCAGTGGACTGGAAATGTGAAGGATTTTTTTTCTTGTTGCGGAGGTCAGTCAGAGTTTGGGGCGAGCTGACAGAAACTTAACGACGTCATATTAAAAGCGGCGCCGCAGCAACACGTGTGATCTTTATATTAGTTTGAACGTCCGACATGTTAAAACACTTGACACTACAGCAGATGCTGAACTTGAACTCTCTGCTTCAAAGTAAAAGTACTTGTCGACTGTTAACTGAGTGTACATCATCATGGCTGCGTCTCAACGCTGTTTCTTCACCAGTGATGCAGGAGGCGGGGTTATC